AATGTTTGCAATGATTACAGAACTAGATAAGTGAATTTTATACAAGAAATTCAAACTTTTTGCTATGATATTTACAGACGTTTCCAAGACCTGCGACTCAATCATTGCATAGATATTGTTATAATATGAAACATTGTATAATAAAGTTATGATGACCTATTGTGGAGATATTTAAAATACTTTTTCGATCTACAATCCAAGCCATCCCTACATAGTCAGTGCTACAGCTTGTCTGATGGCTGTACTTAGTGTTCAGCTATATTCATTCGTACATTTTCGCACACATATGCGTTAATTCAAAGTAATTTACTTCTGAAAGTTGATAAAATTATGATATTTCAAAAAGTGTAAAATCTTGTTCATTTGAGAAACCACATTAATAAAATAAACTTAAATCTTAAGAGTACCTTTATTTGATTAGTAATACACGAGATAATAGTCTAACATATAGTTCATTTTCATAAAAATACATGTTACCATTGTAATTTTCTTTGTGCAATTCTTAGAAAAGGGATACAGTAACAGTTTAGTATCAATAGATATTCTCAGCTTTAAGTAGCTCTAATTAGGCTGTTATTATAAACATAAATGTACGTTAAGTTTTGTCCTTCAAAATATTTGTACACTTTTTTTTAGTGATCGAATCGATATGCACGCAGTATTTCGCAAGGCTAATTATATTAAGTTTTAATGTTGTTTTTTAAGCTCGTCTTTAAATGAGCTACTTCAGACATAATCTGCCTTGGAATAATGTTCATTGATACTCACAATCTCGTTTTTAAAGGCCTTTTTCAGATCCTAAAAAATACGTGGGTTATTCCGATAGAGGAAACTCCACAGTTAAAAAAATCTACTGGTACACTATACGTTGACATCTCGCCAGCTACTTTTTGAATGGATCGACGTGTTTGGATTTACCGACAGTAAAACTGGCATTATGATGATAAATACGAAAAAAAAAATTCCACGATCCTCCACACTCATATACATTTTATTAAAACACCAAATTTGTGTTGTTACACGAGATAGAAGAAAAATACTAGCTAGCGAAAAAGGGTGATTTGGCTATGCAGTATAATTTATTTTTGAAACAAATGTACCATGTGCAAACTTCGCTTAACAAAACATGAATTTCAATATGCTTCTTTATTTATTCAAGTAGTTTCTAAGATATCACTAAATGTTGGGTTTCCTTTATAATAACTCTATATAATAACTTTATAATAATCAAACCATTGCCAAATTGCCATTTCTATGGGGTTTGGGGGCACACCCCCCAGAAAATGTTTTAAAATTTAATGCTAGGAGATTGAATCTTGAGCCATTTCAAATACAAATACTGCATACACACAATGTAATGTACTGAATTAAAAGCAAGTTTTAATAATAAGTTGTAGCTATACATGCTATGAAAAAGTGGTCAGGCCATGGCCTTACAGTATGGCCCTGCATATCAGTAGTATCTTCAGAAAGGGTCCAATGGTAAATTCAGTTTACAAAATGAAAAATAAGTGGATTCTGTTCCAGTTGAACTTTAGAAGTAGACACTGTAGGTTTGACAACAATGGACTACAACTGCCTTTTAAATGAAATAGGCTGACTTTTTAGCTTATATACTAAGGCCTTCTTCAGGATTGAATTCTAACTGGATGTAACCCAATTTCATTAATTCACCTCTCTAAAATAATCTTATGTAATCAAATTTGTGAACTAATGTTACTGTTACAAACTATTTATACTGCTAATTTATTATTAGTATTTCATTAAAGTTAGTTGCTCCTGCTTCCTTAAAAGTTGCTGGAAAATTAGGGAAAACAGTATTCACACTGAATTTACTTCTATAAATATACAGTTAATATAAAGTTTTTCTTAATACATTTCAATGTTCATATTTCACTTCAATATATTGCTACAAGTAATAAAGTTGTGCAAGACTAAGAATACTATGCAAGAGTTCTATGAATAATTACTAGTCATGAAGAAAATCTAGGAAATTATGACATGACCTCACAACTGCCAACCTTTATAACCAGTCGATATGAGCTAAAGATTCAGACTAGGAACTGGAGATTCTGGTCATCTATCACAACATCCCTGGTACTGAAAGAAGCATCTTCCAGAGGCCACTACAAAAGGAACAAGATACTTTGCCAGAAGAAATTGTTCCCGATAGAAATAACAGAACTAACTGCATAGGACCAAGATTTTTGGGTGACATAAATCTAACCATGGGATACACTAATAACAAATTAAGCACAGCAAAAGAACTCTTGACCAATCAACTTCATTTAAATTTAAAAAGAGTAAAACAATATATCATTCCTTTTCATCATGATTGCTTGTAGGAGTAAATATCCTAGGCTTGAAATGGTCTTGTCAGTTTATTTAATGGAACAATGTGTCTCTCCTTCCTTAAAACTTGCTGAAATTTCTTTTTATTTTGAAGTAGAAATAAAAATCAATTTTACATGAAATACTAGAAGTTTTCAAAATATGATTATCATGTTTCATTCAGAAACACTGAATGATTGACAAACTCACCATATAAATCACTTGATCATAGTTGCACAAAAGAACCTACTGAGTCCAGCCCAAGATAATCAAAGAACTTTTTTCACCTTTGATCACTATAGGTAAAAATCTTTTTGGTGTCAAAAGATTCAATAAAAATAAACTTGGTAAACTTCTTTATGGTTATAGAATAAATATCATTAGGGTCAGGAGTTCTAGAAGTAAGCATTTTGTTTAAACAGGTACTTTAACAGATTTGCAGTCTCTTCATTAGTAAAAACATTAACAAGATTGTTTAGCCCTTTGGCCGTGTTTTCTGCTTCTACACTAAAGTTTCCTTCAAAATTTCTTAAACCAATATTAGGCTCAATGCTTTTAAGTTGCCATTGAAAAACCCAAGTAAAAATTGATGTTTCATACTAAAAAAACCATCAAATGATTATTTTAGCCTTAATGATATTTTCCTTAACTTATTCTCTCTTATTCACTCATCCAGGTAAAGGCCTTCAGTTGAAACACAAACATTTGGAAGGAATACATTCTTTTTGAAACATGCTGAATCAAAATGTCAAATATCCCAAGTTTCATTAACATTCTTCCTATTTAATCTCTCTCTGAAAATATCTTGCATTGTAAGTCAGCCTCTCTAAAATCTGGGGTATGACTTACTAACTCTACAATTGCTTTCAATTAAAAATAAAGGTAATAATGCTATAATCACTAGTATCTAAGACCTCTTGCCGCATCAAATTTATTACTATATTCTTCTCAAGCTATGAATTAAAAACATGACAATTAAGAATTTAAGGACAAATGACCTGTTGATTTATCAATGCTCCCATCCACTAAATTAAACTTTAAAAAAAATCATAGCCAATCCTTATCATTTAAATATTTATGAAGCATTCTCTTAAATTTACTGCATCCACTACACCAAAAGTCAACCTTTTTATTAGACAAATAACACTATCTTAGCTGAGATAACTCCTACTCTACCAAAATTAAATATGAAAAAATATACATTAAGTTAACACTATCAATAACCTGAACAATTTTAAATGCCTCAATCAGATCTCCTCCAACACTTTTCCTGAGAAAACAAATCCAGAGATCTTAAACCATCCTTATATGACAAGCTTTCCATCCCAAGTATTAGTAGCCCTCCTTTGAACCCTTTCTGATAATTCAATACCTACCTTAAGGTAAGGGATCCCAAGACTAAGCACAATAATCCAAATGAGGACTAACCAGTGACCTATATAATGAAACTACAACCTCTTTAACAATTATATTCATCTGTAAATACAACCTAAAATGGTTGGCTTAAAAGACTGATCAACCAAATCACCAAGATTCTTTTTTTCCCTCATCAAACTTGTAAGGTTATTTTCATCAAAAAAATGTACTGAAAATTTAAATCACATGCATTATCTTGCATTTATTATAATTAAAAGGCAACTGTCTTTATTCAACCAACTCACTAAATGATCTAAATATTTTTGTAAAACAGTAGTCACAGCCCATCAAAAAAATTCCAGGCCCTTTTCCCACCCCATCCTTACCTCTATCCTTAACCTTATCTTCAATTCCTTTTACCATTACAAACTGTTCTGTCACCTAGCATCTTCAACACAGCCAGAAATATCCAAAACCATAAATCATCAGAATTTAAGCAATTTAATGGCTATTACTTCATCTGTATATTTTACTTGTGACATCAATTCAGTCTGACTGAACTTTTATAACAAATTTTTTTCTATACGAGGAGCCAACTTATCCTCCACACGTACATGTTTTTTTTAACAAGTCTTTTGTGTGGTACCTCATTAAATGCTTTCTGAAAATACAGATACATGAAATTCACACTCTTGCCATCATATTTCTTAGCATGATCTTTCAAGTGAGAAAATCCCTTACAGCATATAGAAAATCTTCAGCTTCATGCAATAGAGTAAAATTAACCTAATCAGTTGCTAAAGTTAAAAGTTTCACATAATAATAACGTTGTTGCTATTAGTAACAAATCTATCAGTATATATA